AGCTTATTAAGCTAGTAAAAAGTGTTGGTTTTTGTTTTTAAATTGTTCTAGCAGGTTGAATTAGTTTGGCTGAGTTGAGTGGGAAGAAAGGTTCAGAAAGCTGTTTAGTTGTATATGAGTGGTAACTACTATTGATCTCACTGTTGTTTCATGCTGCCTCTTATGCCATGACTCTGGGCATCCTTGGAGGACTGTAGCCCTGTGTCCAGATGGAAGTTTGTCTACATCTATTTATCTACAGCTAAATTGACATCTACCCTAAAGCAGCCCTTTATTAAGGGGTAATGTCATTACAGAAATTACCAAAAGTGTAATTCACTGAATGGTTTGCAATTTATATAAATATATATAATAGAATCATAGAATATCCTGAGTTGACAGGGAGCCACAAGGATCATCAAAGTCCAGCTTGTGGCCCTGCACAGGACACCTCAAGAATCACACCATGTGCCTGAGAGCATTGTCCAAACGTTCTTGAACTCAAGCGGGTTTGGGGCTATGACCACTTCCCCGGGGAGCCTGTTCCAGTGCCCAACCACCTTTCTGGGTGAAGAACCTTTTCCTGATATCCAACCTAAACCTCCCCTGACACAATATCCCTTGGGTTCTGTCACTGGTCACCACAGAGAAGAGATCAGGGTCTGCCCCTCCTCTTCCCCTCACAAGGAAGTTGTAACTGCAATGATTTCTTTCCTCAGTTTCCTCTTCTCCAGGCTGAACAAGCTAAGTGACCTCAGCCACTCCCTGTATGGATTTTCCTCGAAGCCCTTCACCGTCTTCATTGCCCTTTTTTGGATGCTTTCTAATAACTTAATATCTTTCTTATATTGCAGTGCTCAAAACTGCCACAATGTTCAAAGTGAGGCCACCCCAGTGCAGAGCAGAGTGAGACAATCCCCTCCCTTGACCAGCTGGGGATGCTTTACCTGATGCCCCCCAGGACACAGTTGGCCCTCCTGCCTGCCAGGGCACTGCTGATTCATATTTAACTTGCCATCAACCAGGACCCCCGGGTCCCTTTCTGCAGCACTGCTTTTCAGCACCTCATTCCCCAGTCTGTCTGTACATCTGGGGTTACTCCGTCTCAGGTGCAGAATCCAGCACTGTCTCTGTTAAACTTCATGTGGGTGGTGATTGCCCAGCCCTCTGGGTCATCTTCCAGACTTGAGAGAACAGCATGAAGCTGGGTCAGGGGATGTTTAGGTTGGATATCAGGAAAAGATTCTTCACCCAGAGGGTGGTTGGGTGCTGGAACAGGCTCTTCAGGGAAGTGGTCACAGCCCCAAACCTGCTAGAGTTCAAGAAGCATTTGGACAACACTCTCAGGCACATGGTGTGATTCCTGGGGTGTCCTGTGCAGGGCCAGGAGTTGGACTTTGATCCTTGTGGGTCCTTTTGAATTCAGAATATCTATGATTCTCTAAAGTGATTTTTTTTTATTGCTGTGTTTTGTCTTGTTGTGTTTTATCTCTTAACACTTCACTGCCCGATTGTTGTTATAAAACTCTTAACAATCAACTTTAAATTGATGAGGCCTGAGAAACTATCTTCAGGTAACCTGTTTTCTGGAAATTCACTCAGGAATTATTGTAGTTGCTCCATACATTGTGATTGCGTAAGTGCATATCAGTACACACTTTATAAATTTTCAGATAGTGTATATTGATCTAATTTAGTTTTCAATTGAATTTAATTCCTGTTGATTTCTATATCTTCATTTGAGGTGATTTAACGCTTCAAAAATGTCAGTAGTGAAATAAATTTCCTTCTGTACATATTTGGACACATCTGTGGGGTGTAGCAAGACTACAGTAATTCTAATTTTTTTTTTTTCAGTCTTTCAGAGAAGGGCATGGGTTGATAGATGGAATTGTTAGTTGTTAACTTGGAAGGTACACACATGGCTTAAGGAAAGAAGATTAAATTTAAAGATAGTGTTTTCCTGTGCATCTAATTTGGGCATGTAAAAGGTGTGAAAAACTGATTGTTATACTTGTTTAGGACTTGAGTCATTGTTTGCATAATCCCCAAGATTCACTAGTGGCTCTTGAGTTCATCTGTGTGTGTTAACACAGCAGGACCAATTCTGTGACAATGTGCTTTGGTTTTGCCTTTAGAACTGCCATGTCTGTGGCAGTGTTAATTTATTCCATCCTCATGAAATACTTTCCATTTGGAGTTTGGGCACCTTCAGCTCATTTCTGAAAATTACAGATCTTGCTTTCATTTTGACTTTGGGTTGGTTTTTGATGCATTGAACTTTCAGTAATTATAAGGCTGGTAATGTAATGCACCTCAGTGTGTCCCTTAGCCTGTGGATGCTGTGGAAGAAAGTCTTTGAAGGATTGATTTCCTAGTCTGTTGTGGCTCAGCAGGAGTTCTTGTCCAAGCATCTTAGCTGTGTGGCCTGTGCTATAAGCTCTTGGCTCTGAATAACTTGCTTCTCTGCCTGCCGCGTGCTGTGGAGCAACATGGGAAGTGGGTATTGTATTCCAGCCAGTTTGTGCCTGCTTAGAGTGGAAAATGTGCAGTTGTAGGCAGGTCAAGCAGAATTGGCAGTACAAAATGCTGGACAATACATAGGACAAAAGGCTGGGCTGCAAGATAATGACAGTAGTGAATTTTGTGGTATTGACTGGGAAAAAAACCCAACAAATTTCCACAGTAGTTCAGCCATGTAATCCAAGGAGTTCTGAATGACTGTGTGTTTGTTCATGCTTCTCAGCAGTTGTTTGGGGTTTCTTTTCAAGGCTCTGTGTGTAACTGTAAAGGCTGGAAGCTTCGACTCTTCAAAATGAAAATGGAAATTTGTTATGCATTGCATTGGGAAGTCTGATAAAATTTGTAGTTCGCCACTAGCTGCCAGTTATTTTGCCAGTTACCTCTACTGACCACACATATTCAGGAACTGTTGGAAAACATTAAAAAAATTTAACTTTATTTTAAAACCATTGTAGAAAAATATTGCACGTATTGACGATGGATCTCCAGTCTGCTCACCCATGTTATGTTTGAATTTTTGTTTGAAGAGAGAAGTGATGCAAAAGCTCTTGCTCATGCAAATGAAATTCTTAAAATTATTATCTTCTGTTTCAGATACTGTCATTTGTTATTCTAAAGGGGTTTTAACTGCAATTCATTCTGGTAGGGTGCCCCTCCATTACTGCATTTCAGCTTCTTCCTCCTGGGAAAAGGAGAGTTGTCTAGAACTATATAGACCTTGCTTACTGTCAGGTTTTCTTTGAGTATTGTGCTGATGGTCTGCCTTTCAGATTATGATGTTTGTTTGTCACTTACAAAAAAATTAGTTTTATAAAAAATCCCTACTGTGAGTGTAGATAGGAATTTTAAGCTGGCTCTTGTAGTCAGTGGAAGCTCATTTCCTTTTAAAATGAAAGGAGTCTGCAGCATTACTGGAGTGGACAAAAATGCAATGTGATTATACAATGTAAGTTTATTGCAGTATTTCTTAAGTCATAGCAAGATAATTCACATATCTCACTGCTCTTTAAACTTGTCTCATTTATCTTGAAAAGGTTTGGTGATGTGACAGGTAATATTGGATGCTGCAATATGAGGTAGGACAGGGAGGAACGCTGAGCACATGTGGTGTTTAATGAATGCTGATGGCAACTGAGAGCTGTCCACATACAAAACACCCAGATGGTGGACAGGACTGGACTTCTGCTGTTCTTACCTCTAAAAGCTCTTACCAAAGTTTGTTGTTTTTTTTTTTTTTAACCTTAGCCTGACATTTTACTTTTCTTTGAAGAACTGTATTCTGTTTTCTTGCCTCTGAAAACTAAGAGATTTTCAAAGGAAAGACATGGGAAGCTGTTGGAATCTATTAGTGCACAGAGATGTATATGATTGCTAATCTGTTGTGCTGCTCTGGACTGCTCCTGAAAGTTGAGCTGAGACAGAAAGCTGATGGGAATACCTGTGCCATGTGCCACCACAGTTGCACTGAGGTTGAGATAAGCATGATTTAAGCTTGGGATTTTGGGTAGCTAATATATTACTTGAACACTGACTCTGCTGGTATCTGACTCTCATTTCTTTTTTGAACACAGCACTGCAATCTTGCAGTTAAGAATTCAGCTGAGCAGTATTGTTGGAAAGGCTTTTGAAGCTTAGCAATGATGGATGTGTTAGAGGGGCTGTGTCATGCACCACCTTCGTGCAAAGTTTTTGTGAATCTTTGCTTAGATTTCGACTGCCTTTTGATTACTGCTGTGATCATGAGACACAAGCGAGAAAAGCATTTGTTGACTCAGACTGTATTTGCCTTCTAGTAGTCTGTGGGTATTGAAATTCAGATAGAATCTTTTTGATGTTGAATGCAAGAATCCTGAAATGGAAAGAGGGTTATTTTTGTCACTAATCACAGTAGTATGAATTTAACAGGTGCTTTACAAAAATATTAAATAGATTCTCACTGTAATCTTAACAAAGACTCTTTAAATTATGTGTAATTCTTGTTATGTTTCACAAAATTTGCTTCTGACTTCTTGGATTTCTAGTGATGTAAAGACAAAAGAGTTTAAGCCCTATTAAAAGAGGAGTGTTTTGGATAATTGTGCTACTTAGTTTTCCAACCTGTTATTTCTAACATGTTGTAAATAACAGACATCTGTGCTTTGTGATAACTTCAGACTTTCCTGCAAACTGTTCAGGATATCACTGGGAGTAAATATGTAACAGTTGAGTTTTATGTGGGTCAAATTAATTAAAGTTATGTGTACATGGTGCGACAATGAGACTGAGTAAAGACCTGAACTAGCACGTTCCAGTGACATGTCATATAGGATGTACCTGTGAAAAAATAAGTATTTTAATTTAAAAATTTGAGACATAATTATTCCTACTCCTGTGTTTAATCTGTTGTCTTTCTTGATAGCTAGATCTAAAAAATGAATACAGTAGTTTCTCTACAAGTGCAGTTTGGGAAGGAGGAAAAGTTATGATGGCTTAAAAGATAATTGCTTTGTTTCTCACAGAAAATGCCAGAAGCCTCAGAAGACCATAATCACTGGAAAGCCTGTTGACTTCCATTCTTTGGTAATCTGGAACATCATCCATCTGGCATGGCGCAGGGCAGTCAACAACTTGACGTGCAGGTACTCCATGATCTCCGGCAGCGTTTCCCTGAGATACCCGAAGGGGTGGTATCTCAGTGCATGCTTCAGGTACGGTACAGTCTGGGTATTGTGGTTTAGTATGAAAACCCTTTCCAGTAGTGTACATGGAGCACAGATTTCCATTCCCCTGGTTTTATTTTAAAAGATTGGAAGATTCCACTATTTGCATTTCTGTCCTGTGTTTTAGGGACAAAACTTTTTGTCATTCTTCATTTAGGCTTGTGATTTTTTTTCTTTTTCCACTGACAGTTTTTCCTTGTCTTTGCAACCTGCGACTGTTATGCATATGGGGAATACGGGAAGTGGTTAATGGGATGTTTATTGATGATGGCTACATAAATAACATACTGAAGAAGATTTTAGCAAACAGTGACTCTCCTTTGTAGATGAGGAGCTGACCTTAGCTAGAAATCTTAAGATTTTTCGTCTTCATGTCATCTTTCTGCCATGGCCCTCCAAAGGTTTAGTTTTACTTTTCTGTTTCCAAGTCAGGTGGTGATGGTTCTTCTCCCCCTCCTCCTCTCCCCACCTTTTCCTTTCCATTTTGTCCTTCCATTCTTCATCTAAAATCACATATAAATCATTTTGCAAAGTAGTGGTCATCTGGGAATACCTTCAGTTAATGGGAAGATTCAGGAATGGAATAGAAACGTACGTTGTGGCCATGGCTAACAGAACAAAACTGTATTTGCATCGTCCCTGTCCTTGGCAGATGAGTAGGCTTGCTTAAAACAGTGGCTGTAATTTTTGCCTTATGTGTCTTCTAAACCATACAAATACAAATTAATTGCTTTCACACAAATGTAAAGCAGGGGAAGCCCAGTAATTTAAAGCTTTATTTATCCTGACAGTCATTTCTTCTGTACTGTTAAGTACATGATCCTTTTGATGAACTGTGTTTGTCATAGGTGTCTTTAAACAATAAATTAAAGAACCCCTAATGCTGCAGAAGCATATGGTGCTCTGTATCTGTAATAGGGCATTCTGGGTAGCTGGTTAACATTACATGGCAAATAGTTGTTATTTTTTAAAGTGTAGATTTTGTTTCCAAACCCACTTTATATTTAAAGATGCACGAGCTGGTTTTCATTAACTTTTTGCAATAAATACTCTAGATTTAAATTAGGTTGAGTTTTAGACCTGTCAAAAATTGAAGGTCCTTTGAAATGACAAATATATTCCATACCCTGATCAAATCAGGTTAGGACCTGTCCTGTCTACGTTCTCTCTACCTGCACCCTAACCAAGTGACCTAAGGAAGCTGAGGACTCTGTTTATGAAGTTCTGTTTAGATGGCAAGTGGCTGATGGTATTGGTTAACTTTGAGGTTGCTGTCTTGGCACTGTGGTGCTGGTTGTTATTACAAGATCTGGTGCCCACATATTCTCATCTTAAATTTTTAGTGATATATCTGAATATTCCCACTGACCATTGGGATCTAGAAGGAGAGCTTAACATGAAGGGAAGTAGTCAGAGAGAAGTATCCATAGGGTGAGAGCCATTCATATTTAGGTGATGAACTCTTCTGTCTTCTGTTATCTTCAGTAGTAAGTCTTCATATGACAAAATGCTGAATTATGTGTATTCATCTGTTAGTGAAATCATGAAATTTTGGGAAAGTCATCTTCACTCTAGTATTAAGACTAATTAGCTATTGGTCCCTTAGAAATGTAACATGACTTCAGCTGATAGGCTGTTGAAAATTGTATTGCAAGGCTATATGTGTATTATTATGTATAAAAATTTATACAGGGATAGTGTTTAAAATAGAAGTGAAACCATTATTAATGTATATTCCTTAGAATGGTAATTTTAGCACACTGAGGAAGGTGGGGGTGTATGTGTCTATAAATATGTACACACTTGTTCTGGAAAAAGGTGCTCTGTCACAGAAGGTACCAGTCTTGGATTATATGTAAAAAAGTTTGGGTGCTGAGGGTCAGATTGAGTTGAACTTAAAGTGAAATTTGTTTTCTTTAACTACTATTTAAATTAAAATCTGAACCACAACCGATACAGGCTGTTATATGAGAAAGTGGGGAGAAAAAAAAATCCACCATCTGGAATGCCTTCTAGTGATTTTATTCCTTTGGAAAAACCATCATTTGTGTTACTCTTTTAATACAACTAGGTTAAGCTAAAATGAGGGGAGAGGGCAAGAAGGGAAAGGGAATTCCCTTTTAGATTTCTCATTTGATTCATAATTTATTGTCTGTATAGTTTCAGCTGCTAGCACTGCAGAACAAATCAAACATTTATGGGGTTATTTGGTTTCCTCACTGATGTGTGAATAAACCTTTTTTAACCTTAAGCTTGAAATTCTTAAAGGCGGTTGAAATTTTATTAGAATTGTAAGGTGCTTTACGGAATTGGCAGTACTTCTTCAAGCAGTACTGATTTGGACTGCTTTTTTAAGTCATTAAATACTGTTCTGTCAATAAAAGCTGGCCTAAAATGTTGGGCTTTTAAAATTTCAGGTAACAAGAAATATTCAAGTAGTAAAAGAAAAGTGAAAACAGTAAACACTTGGGTGAACATTAAAATGTCATCTGCATTTTTGTTTTGCTTTTCCAGAGTTTCCAATTTTGATCTAGTTTAATTTGATTCGTGTTGTTACTAGAAGTAGTTAATTGTACCGACTTGTCCTTGAAGAAAATGTGAAGAATTCTAACCATCGTTTTCCCCAAAAGTGGACTTGATTTTTTTTTCAATATGTCATAGTGTAGCTCGTGTTACCAGAGCATTTTTCCAGATGCAACGTGAGCTATGTACGACTTGCATACCGTGACTTAGCAGGTACTACCTTTATTTCAAAATTCCTGTGTATGAAATGTTCTCCCTAGTTGTGTTCAAGCTGGGGCTTGGTTGTGGCATCAGCTGAAGGCTTGTTGAACACTGAGCAGTGGCTCTTCCTTGTGATATGTGACAGTAATAGGTGTCTCTTCTTACTCTAGAACAACAACAACCTCGATGCCTGTTGTCGAGCCCTTGCGCAGGAGAGCAACAAATACCTGTACATGGAGTACCATAGCCCTGATGACACCAGAATGAACAGAAATAGCCTTTTGCACATTAATCTGGGTATTCATCCTCATACCAGCTATCACGCGGGGGATGGAGCTCAACTTAATGGTGGTCGTACACTGGTACACAGCTCAAGCGATGGACACATTGACCCTCAGCGCACAGCAGGTAAACAGCTCATCTGCTTAGTTCAAGAACCACATTCTGCTCCCGCTGTCGTGGCAGCTTCTCCTAGTTACAATCCATTTTTCATGAATGACCAGAATAGAAATGCAGCTACTCCTCCTCCACAGCCACCTCCACAGCCATCTTCCATACAACCAGGAATGAACACGTCTGCTATGCAAGGCCCTCCTCCCACGTATATGCACATACCTCGGTACAGTACAAATCCCATTACTGTTACAGTATCACAAAACCTCCCCTCTGGACAGAGCATACCCAGAGCTCTACAAATTCTTCCACAGATTCCAAGCAATCTTTATGGGACTCCTGGCTCTATTTATATAAGACAAACATCTCAAAGTTCTTCAGGACGACAGACTCCTCAGAATACGCAGTGGCATTCATCGCCACAGGGCCCAGTTCCACATTATACTCCCCGTCCTCTACCTGTATATCCACATCAACAGAACTACCAACCTTCTCAGTATTCTCCGAAACAGCCCCAAATCCCTCAGTCGGCTTTTCGATCGCCACCGGCATCCCAGTGTCCCTCTCCCTTTGGCTCTCCTCAACACCAAGTTCAGCCTCCTCAGCTGAGTCATCAGAGTTCACATGTTTTCATGCCTCCTAGCCCTTCAACTGTCCCACCCCATCCATATCAGCAAGCATCCCAGACTTTTCAAAAACAAGGCAGTCACTCTGTGTCGTACCTTCCTCCTTTTGCTGGACCTAGTTTATCCAAAGGTTCCATGAATAAAATAGAAATTACAGTTGAGCCACCGCAAAGACCTGGGACTGCAATGAACAGAAGCCCTTCACCAATAAGTAATCAACCATCTCAACGAAACCAGCACCCACTGTATGCACCCACTACTCCTCCTTCAAGCTCTCCGTCAAGAGGTATGTCGGGGCAACCCAAACCTCCATTTAGTGTTAATCCAGTATATATTACCTACACTCAACCAACTGGACCTACAGGTGCACCAACACAGTCTCCTCGGGTAATGGTATCTCAGCCAAACCCAACCATTTTTAAAATCACAGTAGGTCGAGCACCGACTGAGAATCTTTTAAATTTAGTGGACCAAGAAGAGCGTTCTGCAGCACCAGAACCTATTCAGCCTATTTCTGTAATCCCAGGATCTGGAGGAGAAAAAGGAAGCCATAAATATCAGAGAAGTTCTAGTTCTGGATCGGATGACTATGCTTACACTCAAGGTAAATGTTTAACCCTGCGAATTGTGGTGTTGTAAAATGCATTTTCAGCTTGATTTTACTACTTAGTAAGTGAGAATTTTGGAACCTGTACAGAGAAAAGTAGAAATTGCACCAAAAATCATGGAATGAGTTTATTCTGATTTTTTTAAAAAAATTGCTAAGTTTCAGTCTAATGCATAAAGAATTTCTGAGGGTCTTAAAGTTGCTATGCTTTTGGTGTTAGAGGACTCCCTTAAAACAAAACACTGCAGTTAAAAGTAAGTGGTGTCTTCGTATACTGTGTGTCTGGTTTGTAAATTCTGCATTGAAGAATTGTCATAAATTTACGTGTGGATTTTTAAAATTTTTTGTATTTGTTCCTTATTCAAATGTGTTATAAGACCTGAAGCACTGGCTTCTGCATTTGAGTCCAATTTATTTGGTGTAGATTGAAGAATATTAAGTGCAAGAGGTGGGAGGTAGGATTGCAGCTAAAAAAACATTTTCAATACCAATAATAATTTTGTTTTGAAAGGTATTAAAATAATTATTTTGAAGAACTTAATCCAAAGTTCGCTTCTCCCACTTAGAGTTTTCAAAGAGGAGGAAGAGATTGGCAGACAAATTTTAAGATGTGTGTTCTGCTGTGTAGGGATAGAATATAGTTTTAATGCCATACATAAATGAAGAATTCAGTAAATCAGTAAAGAAAAAAAAGGTGAAATTTAACTGAAATGTTAGGTGAAAACTACTTCTCTTGGAGTCATCTGCTGTGTAGATTTGAAAAATTTAAAACTGAGCAAATTAATCAGTCTGCAAGTCATTTGGGATAATGACAGAATGACAACCAGCAACAATTATTTTCCGGATTTGTGTTTTGAAAAGAGAGTTTATTCTCTGTTGTTCCTTCTATCCTTTTTTTAACTTTGGAGAGCTGAAATAGTGCTGGTTTGTACCTGGTAGACCCAATTAGAAAGTCTTTAGACCCAGTTCTTCAGTAAGAAAGATTGCCAGTAGGTCTGTAACCAAACATGTTTGGTAATGTTCCCATTACAGCTTCAGTGAACGTTGTCATTTATGTGAGAAAGCTACAAGTAGCTTCACATAGCTTTGAAAAACATATTCTGAAATGTAGAAATCTGGTTTTACCTTTGTGTCTTTGACTAGTTTTTTGTATTTGAAAAACAAACCAAATAGAATTAGTTAGTGTATATTTTTTGGGGCATTTGCATTTGTGGCAATACCTACCAGAGCTTTTGGTATTGCTGCACTGTGAACTCTTGACAGAAAGAAATTGTAGAAGAATAAACATTATATTCCTTACTGCAACAAAAGGAATCCTAAAGAAGAGTATATTTAACAGCTTAATACATAGAACAAGTTGGTTTAATTTTCTCTTTAATGCGAACCATTGTGAAAAGCGTTACCTAAAAATTCCTTCTGCTCTCTGTACTTGTACTGTTTCTCTGTAGTATGAGTCATGTTTGAGTTGTACTTTGAGAGTATAATGTGAAGCTATGAAATGTAGTCATACCATGTTAAGTTGGAGGAATCACACAAAGACAAGGTTTGGTAATAATAGTGGAAAATCACACAGCCTGGTATCTGCACTGTCTTTTCTTAATTCTGTTTGCATGACTATGCTACTTTAAAAAGGAGAGAACAATTTTGTTCAGTAGTACTGGTGCCTGTAGTATAAAAACACCTGATGTTATTCCTGGATGGGACATTCAGTGTTTATTCTTTGGCTGTGAATTGGTGGATCCATACAAAATCCAAAGTATAGTGCTACTTTTTTGTGCAGAATACTGACATCTGATAAAAAAAACCCTATTTCAATGCTCCTGGTTGAGGTTTTTTTTTGTTCTGCTGTAAGTTGTGTCATGTTGTTTATTTTTCTAACTTCTTTTTAGCTCACATGCAAATACTCTTGAGATATTATGTACTTTGCCTTTGTTGGATAGGAGTGAAGAAAAGAACAAGTGCTGGCTAGGGCCTTTTATAAAATTGCATTTTGCAGGTTCAACAACATCTTTATTTTGAACAGTTTGCTGGAACATTGTTACATGAGCAGCTTGTTTGTCTGAATACCCACATCAAATGTCTTATTTTTCTCTATCCTAGCAGACTTCAATCAGGTAAAACCAGCCAGATCAGAAAGGATTAAGCATCACAGTAACTTGGCCAGTTCTACACCATGATGAAATACTGAGAAATGCTCTTCCTGAGGAAACTGAGTATTATCTTTTAGGTAGTCAGAATTCTTTCTTTGGTTCTCTGGGAGTCCAACATCAACTTGTGACAATCATAAATTTCAGTACCAAGACAAAAATGAGAGCATGACTAACAACAGAGAGAGGTGAGAGGAATCAGCTCTGTTGTAGAATTAGAGTTTGAAGCACCTAAGCTGATCCCACTTTTTATTTCCTGGATTCTCTAGGCTATTTTGTTGAAGTTCTATAGTTTTGCCTTTGAACTCTGGGGAACTTAAAGTATTGAGTATTTCAGTATTCCTGAAAAGCTAAGACTACTTAAAGTTGCTATAGCATACTCTGTGATAGCAGTGGAAAAAAAACAATTCAGGACTGACATTTGGCTGATGTCTCAAGGCTGGTGTATCAGCTGCTGTTGAGCAGCAGGTATGAAGTGTGTGTTACCTTCTGATCTTACCTCTGGTATTTTTATTATTTTTTTTGTCAGTTGAGTATTAAAATGACTAGATTGCTGTTTCATCCTGAGAAGCTGTCTCCTTGTACAGGTGCCTTTGTATTTTTGAGACGAGAAAGACCAAATGCAAAAAAAGAAGCTTTGACCAAAATGGTAATATCAACTTCAAGTTACTGTCTAAAAATGTGTTTTTAATTCTGGAAGAACTGTGTTCTAAATTGTAGTTCATTTGGCATGAAAGCATCTTCACACTGATACTTGGCTGCATGTTTGCAATCACTTTTTTTTCCCAGAAAGGTCACTCATGAATCTTACGCATAAGTTAAGAATTCAGTTTTCAAGGTTTTTATGTTTTAGTAACTATTTCATCAATGTAAAACATTAGCCTTGCTGTTACATCAACGAGCAAGGATGGAGAGATTAGCAAAGGAACTGAAGATTGAGAAAGAAGAGCTTGAACGCCTGAAAACCGAAGTCAATGGTATGGAGCATGATCTAATGCAGAGGCGGCTTCGAAGAGTGAGCTGTACAACTGCAATTCCAACAGTAAGCAATTTGTTAGTATTTTAATTCAACATACAGATTTATTTTTTATTTTCTAATTAAGTAAAGTACTGTACAAAAACTTTTGAGTATAAAATCTTGAGATTTTGGTGATAATTAATTGTAAGTTCTTGACTTGCCATAAGGTAGTTCTTGTAATTTATGAAACGTGTCCAGCTTTCTTAGTGTTCACAACAGAACTTCTGAAAGTTGTGTGCATGTGCTTTTGTGGACCACAGAACTGAATATAGTTGCTTTCCTAACAACCTTTAGAAGTATATCCGAGTCTACTCAATGATCCTGAGCCATATAGTGCTTGGTGTTCATGCAGGAGGGCTTAACTTTTTTTTAAAGGTATTTTATTTGTTGGAGTAGTTGCATCTCATCTGGTATGTGCAGGATGTGCCAAGTAGCTTCTCAGTGGCAGTGTTGGCTCAAATAGTTGGCCAATCCCTCTCCTATTTTCCTTGTTGATTCTTCTTATCTGTGTGACTTCCACCTGCAAGTGACTCTAGCTCAAACAACTGTATGGCTCTGATAAGAGAGTTCATGTGGCTGAAAACCAGCTTCCACTGTGTGCAGTTGTTAACCAAATCAGCTCAGACTTACTCACTGTGTTGACATAAGCAGTGCACACAGGTGTGGGCTGGAAGGCACAGTAGGGGCTGTTGGCTGCTTAACTACTGTGGCTGCTGTGTGTCTCATCTGTGTCAGAGCAGCATTTGGCAAGTATATCCTTGGGAGAAATGCAGAGGCACTGAGTGTGCAGGGATGAGGTAGGGAAAGCCAAAGCCCAGCTGGAGTTGGATCTGGCATGGGATGTCAAAGACAAAAGGAAGGGCTTCTGTTACAGGAAGCCCAGTGAAAACATGGCTCATAAAGATGGGGGACCTGGTTACATAGAACATGGAAAAGGCTTGAGATACTGAATGACTTCCTTACCTCAGTCTTTACAGTCCTTCAGGAATCCCAAGTCCCAGAGACTCTGGGAAAAGTGTGAAGCAGAGAAGGTATACCCTTAGTGAAGAGAATCAGGTCAGGGAATACTTAAGCAAAGCAGACATACATGAAGTCATAATCCTGGATGAGATGCACCCATGAGTGCTGAGGGAGCTGGCAGATGTCATTGCAAGGCCACTCTAGATAATCTTTGATTGATTAATGGTGTGTGGGAAAGTGCCTGAAGCCTAGAGGAGAGCAAATAGTACTTCTGTTCTCAAGAAGGGTAAGACCCAGGGGACTACAGACTGGTCAGCCTTACCTTGATCCTTGGGAATGTGATTGAGCAGCTAATCCTGCAGACCATTCCCAGGCATGTGAAGGACAAGAAAGTGATCAGCATGGATTCACCATGGTGAAGTCAAGCTTGCCTAATTTGATAAACTTCTAGGATGAAAAGTCTGTCCTGATAACCTAGATAGGCAGTGATTATTGTCTGTCTAGACTTTGGTAAGGCTTTCAACATTGTCTCCTATAAGATCTTAATAGAGAAGCTGATGAAGTGTGGTCTAGGTGAGCAGTGAGGTTGATTGAAAACTGGATGAACAGCCAGGCCAAGAGTGTGGTTGTCAGTGGCACAAAGTCTGGTTGGAGACTTTGCAGAGGGGTTGGACCAGGTGTCCTCCAGAGGTTCCTTTCAACTTCAGACATTCTATGATTTTGTGACTCTGATGCCAGAATGCATCCTGGGATAAGATAGTTGTTCCTACATATGTGTTAGTAATCAGTGCTGCTAGTATTAAGAATGCTTTATATTCCAGTTACTTAGGGGTTCTTAATGATATGTAAATATATGGACTTAACTGATTACTGTTAAGGATAATTACCATCCTTCAGCATCAAATGACTTAAATATACTGAGCTAGAAGGTTTGGCTTGTTGAAGCTCCTTGGGGTGATGCAAATAAATAAACTTTTGACCTTAGTTTTAATCAAGTAATACTTAAGATGGGCTGCAGCTTGTATTCTGTTTTCTAATCATCTTGATGCAAACTCAGGTAGCAAGCCATCAATTTATAGAGTTTTATAAGGTGTGTGGTTTTATAAACTTGATCTCAGCTATGTTGTCTTACTAACCAATTTTAGTGTTAAGTAACTTGTTTGTTTTCCTCCTCACATGCCAATAGAGGAATGTTTTTTTTGAAGGCAAATTGGCTTTTTTCAGTGCCTTATCTATACTCAGTTTCTAATAAAGCTGTTAACAAAGATATAGCAATGTTATTTCTGTTTCAAATAAGATGCTGATTTTCCCACAATGACTATTTTGGGTTGTTTCCTTCTAGCCTGAGGAAATGACCAGATTGAGAAGCCTCAACAGACAACTCCAAATAAATGTTGACTGTACACTGAAAGAAGTTGATCTCCTTCAATCTAGAGGTATTGACTTGATACTTTTTTAAAAAAGATAATTTGAATATGGTCAGGAATGTTGATCTGCTGGAAGGCAGGAAGGCTCTGCAGAGGGATCTGGACAGACTGGAGCAATGGGATGAGGTCAGTAGTGGGAGGTTCAAAAAGACCAAGTCCTGGGTCCTGCACTTCAGTCACAACAATCCAGGCTGGGGGAAGAGTGACTGGAAAGCTGCCCAGAGGAAAAGGACCTGGAGGTGCTGGTTGACAGTGGCTGAACATGAGCCAGCAGTGTGCCCAGGTGGCCAAGAAGACGAATGACATCCTGGCCTTTATCAGCACTAGTGTGGCCAGCAGGACCAGGACAATGATTGTCCCTCTGTACACGGCACTGATGAGGCCACACCTTGAATCCTGTGTTCAGTTTTGGGCCCCTCACTGCAAGAAAGACACTGAGGTGCTACAACATGTCCAGAGAGGGGCAGTGGAGCTGGTGAAGGGTCTGGAGCACAAGTCGTGTGAGGAGGGACTGAGGGAGCTGGGGGTGTTTAGCCTGGAGGAAAGGAGGCTTGGGAGATTCTGTTGCTCACTACAACTACCCAAAAGGAGGCTGTATCCAGCTGGGGGTTGGTCTCTTCTCCCAAGTAACAAGTGACAGGATGAGAGGGAATGGCTTCAAGTTGTGTCAGGGAAGGTTTAGTTTAAATATTAGGGAAAATGTCTTCTGGGAGAGCATTGTCAAGCACTGGAACAGGCTCTCCAGGAAAGTGGTGGAGTTGCCATTCCTGGAGGTATTTAAAAATCCCATTGATGTGGTGCTTGGGAACATGGTTTGTTGCTGGACTTGGCAGTGCTGGGGTAATGGTTGGACTCAGTGATCTTAGAGGTCCTTTGCAACCTAAATGATCCTATGATTCTCATATGGTATGTGCTTAAATGTGAATACTTGGGAGTTTTTTTCAATTTGTCTTAGCAGTGACAACTTACCTCTAAAAGGTGGGGTTTTTTTCAGTTGCAACTTAATAAACTTGACTTGCTAGTATTTCTGTTGGTCAAGTTAAATTACGTTACCAAGAAAGTGGTGACTTTGTCAAGATCATATTAAAAAAAAATTACTCCTTTGTGAAGATCCTTTACTTAAAATTTAAACTTCTTGCTGACAGAGGCTGTGGCCAAGTAATACTGAACAGAACTGCAGGTTGCAACCAACAAGTTGGCAAACAAAAATCTACTTAGGTCTTCAAAAATCTTTTTTGCAACAGAAACTTGTCATAAATAGAATCAAATAGATTAGGATGTGCACAGTCTTCCTTTTTTATCAAGGAAGTATCTTATAGAAAGATTTACATTTCACAGAGCAGTACAAAACGTTGAGCTGGAGCTGATTCTTCAATATGGGATTACCCTGCTAAAAATTACTAGGATTGACACAAAACTGAAAATATGTGTCAAAACTTGTGAAAAAGCTAAGATATAATGTCATAATGAAAAGATGTATAAAATCAGAAGCCTCTAGATGTTCATATCATGGGCATAGGAATTCAAATAACCTTCAAGTTACACTTTCTTACTTTTCTGACAGGAAACTTTGATCCGAAAGCCACGTGTAACTTCTATGATAACATAGAGCCTGGTCCCGTTGTGCCACCAAAGCCATATAAAAAGGGTAGGTTAACAAACATGCATCCAGTTACCTAATCTGCATTGAGAGAATTTGTTTTTAAAAAAATCCCTGTGGTGACAGGAAGTAATTCTACTTATTTAAGTTTTCTTTCTATATAAATCAAACCAGAACACTTATATAAAAGTGCACTAATCTTGACAACAACTTGTTTTCCTCAGACAGATTGTTGCAAATGAATGTTCTGTTAAAACCTTGACTGTAAATACTGTTATTCACTATTAGAAAAAGAGTTGAAAATATACAAATTTTTACGTGTTTACTTGAGCTTCCTAATGTTTTTCTTTTTTAAATACTTCTAGGTTAAAAGCTCTATGTCAGGTTTGTTTAGTTGTCCTCTAATATGTTGTTAGGATTTTATAGTTTAATTGGAGTCTTTTATACAAGTTTAGTTCATCACAGCAGCTTCTTAAATTTTTGTTTATATTCTTAATTATATTTCACCTTGCCTGGTCTCACTTTGTACCTATATTTTTGTGCACAGTATGAATTTCACAGTAGCCCTGAAGTTTTAGCACAGCAAGAGCTTCAGATATTTTAAGGACCAAGGAGGACACTTCCTCACATTGGTCAAAAGAGATGAGTGTCCCACTTGTATAGGTTCATTAATTTTCAGTGCTAATTATGTAGTATCAGGATTCATATCCAGCTCAGGACACTTAAGTTTTATGTAAGCATAAGAGCTACGTAATTTAGTCTCACTTCTTGTCCAGTGGAGATTCAGTCAGTACGTGCCAGAGTGACTCAACACATCCCAAGCAGACACACAGTCGCTGTGTAGCTCTCTAATAAATTCAACTCTGTTTAGTGGTGATTTCAGATCAGAACCCTACCTTTGTCTCAGATATTTTTTGACCTACATTTTTCTTCCTGAAATCTGTTAAAAGAATGGTTTCAAATATTAGTGGAAGTTTTTAGACACCTTGTATCTTTCTGCTGAAATAGCCAGTCTGGGATCCTATACTGACACAGAGAAAAAGCTTTCTTTCCTCTGAAAATGTTGTGTGATAAGGTTCATAGTATTGTGTCTCCTCTTACTGTAACTAGCATGTACTGCACTTGTTAGTGGAAAAGAAGTAGCTCTTCTGAATCGGTAATTATATAGACTTCTTGACACTAAGAATTTTGTAAATAAGTTCTGGTTGGTGATAAGCACCTCTCAGAGGTTTCTGTAATTGAATTTTGAATTCATGTAACAAAACTTTCCCCCTCTTTTGAAGCAAGTATTTTACCTCTCAATGAAATAAAATTATTACTGTGTGGAAATTTTGAAAGAAAGAAAAGACCCAGAACTGCTCTTTGTGGTTCACAGAAAAGATAATACTGGGATGAGTTACTTGCATTGGTGGTAGTGTCCAGGAAAGGTGGGAGACCAGGAGGTGAGCCATGGTGTGAAGGCAGCGCCTGGATTCGTGGTAGATTGCAGAGATCATGTGGTTGATTTAAGGAACTGTTACTCTGTGATGCTTGAAGGGATTCTCTTACCACACTAGCCTATTTGATTTATTTCAAAACAAGCTGATGTGTAATACCTGCATTAAATTATTTGTAATTGGCAGTTGGAAAGATAATGCCTTGTAAGGATTTGTACAACTACCTTCCCAGTTTTGCCTGTCAGCTTATTAGAGATCAGTTTTAGGTCTGGCCTGTTGTATTCTGAGTTTGGCTTTTAACATGATGACATTAAAAAATGATTTTTTTTTCTTACATACATAGTAAGTATTCTTTAACATTCAGCTGTTGAAGGTGGGCGGGCAGACAAGGGTCTGCTCTGTGCTGCCATCTGGCCAGTCAAGTGCCCACACTGCCCCTTGCTTAGGAGGAGTTTGAGGTCAAGCACTGTTAATGTGACTGCACAGCGTCTGGGCTGGAGAGTGCTTACATCTAAGTGAGGAGGTCACTTTTATTTCCTTTGTCTTACTACACAACTACTACTAAAATCTACAGAAGTTAAAAAAAAAAATCCAAAAAGCTCTGAGGCATCAAGACCAACCTAAGTACTATTTGCACTGAGGTTGTCATCAGCTGTCTGCTGCGTTTTTAGCAGATGGGGCAGCAACATGTGCTCTTTGTGTGCAGCTGCAAATTGCAGGCCTTTGTTATACATAAGTTCTCTTTTAATAATAAAGCTGCTCTACAGGTGTTTGTTTAGCACATGGGTGTCTTAACCTTACCTTCTAGGTATGCGTTAATTTTGTTTTGAATGTTAACATTTTGTGCAACATTGTGCTCCCATGTCCTGGGAGTATTTGTCACTTTTAGTAGATAACCTGAGGTCTTGAAGTGGTGGTAGGAGATGTGGAAAACCAAGTCTTTCTGTGGACTAAGATCTCGTGTATGATTTGCATACATGCCGATTTTATGAGTGAAAGCAGACTTAAATGCTGCTTCCCATACACACATTCCTGCTGCAAAGCCATGAGGAAGAAAAGTAGTTGTCTTATTTTGAAACAGGCCTATCTTTTTATTTTTATATTGTATTTTTTTCAGCCTGGGTAAATGCTAGAAAAGATGCAGAAAAAGTGTCATCTATCAGACTATTTGAAGAATCTAAGTTAGAAGTAGTTTTTCTCTTCAGGTAAAGTAGGGCTATTGGAATTTAAAATTTGTAATAGACTGCTCTATGTAAACCTGTGAAGTCATTCCTTAACAGGTTGGTGTTGCAGTGCCCATAACAAACTTTGTATGTTTTAAGCCAGTAAACCTTGAGCAGTATCAGTGACCCAGCAGTGGTGAGTGCTCTTTTTGTTTTTAAGATGTTATGGTTAAGTGACTCTTTACAGAAGTGAAATACTTTAAATATTCGGATTTCAGAAACTGAATTAGAAGTGCTTTGGGAAAAGACTTTTAATGTTAAGGTTTCCATGTTCATTTTAAAATAGACTGTTTAATTAGGTGACCAACCAGAAGTATGATCTTGACAATAATCCTTCTCTTCTGAAATAAGATGTTTTCTTTTGGCTTTTCTTTAGAGCATCAAAATAGCTCCAAACAGACTCCACGGACTCAGCCAAGAGATGAAGACTTTGAAGGGGCTCCATGGAATTGTGGTAGCTGCACCTTTCTAAATCACCCAGCACTGAATCGCTGTGAACAGTGTGAGATGCCACGATACACCTGAAATTCAGGAAGTGGCTGCGTTGGGTTGAAAACAGGCTCTCAAGCCGACAGCTGTAGGAGAAGGAAACATGGGGAACCTTTCAGTCCATCTGCCCGGCCTTTGCCAGTCAACAATCTTCATATTGCAAGGGGTGGGAATAATGTGTTAAGATGTTTCTGCTTCTGCTACACTAAAAGATAAATAAATTAAGGGTTAAATTCTTTCCCATTGCAGTGAGCGGAGCAGAAAATGAAACCTGAAAATGTACAAGGATTAATTTTGAGAAGAATGTATGCAGGAAAGCAAATAACTACTGGTGTTTCGTCCTGTGGTTATAGTTACTGCTTAGTGGCTCTGAAAAAAAAACCAACCCAAAACTACTGTTTTTTAAAAAAAAATTATAGGACTCTTAGTAATGGTGTGAAGTGTTACACTTAACCAGAAAAACTGAAGAGCCAGAGCTGACTTATCCTGGCCCCAGCTAGCTGGAAAACAAAGGCTCCCTGTGCTTCTAGATTGTAAGCTACTGAAAAAGAAGACAGGTAAATGCAATGATAAATTTTGCAATGTTTAAACAAAACAAAAAAAAAAACAAGGAGAAGGGTATTTGTAATTGCTGCTTTTTTTCAGGGTAACTTATGTCTACAAAAAATTGCTGTTTGAAATAGTAACCTGAGGTGACTAAATGAGAAACCGTATGAGTGTTACAGAGAGTTTAATCAGAGGTAATTTTTTACAATCCTGTTTGCTTGTACAGTGCTCACCTGGCTGTGTCAACACTGGTAATAAACTGAGAATGAATTCTACCACATTACAGATGAAAATACTGCTGCATGCTTTCATTGGGCCGTCGTGTTTCAAAGCTAAAAGTATGCTTTTATATACAACAATCTTCTAAGCCTGTGCTGTATAACAGCACGGGGACATATGCCAAACACAGGCTACTCCAAATTGTGTTTGGAAGACTTGAGCTCAGCCATGGTTGTGTATGAGAAGAGTTTGTACCTAAGAGTTCCTTAGGCCTTTTCAGCCTCCAATTTGTGAAGAATTCTTGATGTTTACAGCACAGAAGGTACTTTGTGCCCCAGATCAAAGTTAGCTGAAAAATAATTAATCAGCTCTTCAGTAAAGATTTATTTGCACATTGGTAATAAACCAGCCTGTACAAAATAGCAGATGCCAGATCCTGAAAAATTACACACTGCATTCTCTTTATTGTGGTCAGGAATTACTTGTCGTAGGTTGAAGAACACGAGACTTGCAACAGAAAATCATATTGGTACTTTTCTGCATATGATATACTGTATTATAAAGGTGATGTTCAATCTGTTTGAATGCTTCAGGTTGCTGTAATAAAACACTCGATACTTGTGAACTCGAACTTGGGTTTGGGCAGCTGAATGATTGTGACACAACTGTGTGACTGAGTGGGATGTTCCTGTGTACTGGTCAGAGGCTGGTACAGTGCATTTGAGTTTTTATGGTGTAACTTCATCACAATTCAGACGTGACCAAGCACCTCAGCTGAGTTATGGTAATTGACTTTCCGCCCATAAGGCGAAGTTTGCCAGCTAAACCTTGCCGGGGGAGTTTTAAATTACTACCTTTTAAGCTGTTCTTAGTTCATGGCAGCCACATCCATATGGTCAATTACCACAGTTCACTTGATGTGTGATAACATGTTAAGCTGTGGTAGAACAATCATGTGTCTGAATCCTTATTTTAAATAAAGCAGTATTTGCCAAGGGGTGGGTGGAGGAAAACTCATCTTGACTGCATTGCTCAATCTGGTGTCTTCTCTCCCCACAGTCTATAAAGACAACAGTAAGAACCAAACTGTTGATCTTGGAAGAGGAACCAATATTTTATCTGGCATTTTTCAATATGTTCTTGCACTAATTAAATCTTCAGGATAATTTTAAATAAGCTAAGAGAGATCCAGCAATCAGTGTGCACCACTGATGAGCAAAACAAAGTCAAAGGCATCAGAGATAGCTTTCCTTCCTTCCTAATGATTTGTAATTCTGGGGGGGAGCTCATCACATGTGAAAAGCAGTAAAATAATTACTGTCAAATGAAATCAGAAGGCAAATACCAATTTTGTGCATGTCAGTGGGCAGTCTGACAAAACTGAGAGAAAACAGATGAGCCAGAAGCATTGCTGTTATCAGCTGTATAATGAATTACCCAAAACAATACCAGTAACTTCATGACTTTTCCATCCTGATGCCTTTGCCTTTGTTTTATTTCAGTTTTATGTTCATTTGTACTTCTGTTGAAGTTCTAGAACCATTTGTTTTTGCTGGAATTACAAAAAGATAGCAACTGAAGTGACAGTCAGCAAATGAGAGTAGGTGCGTCAAGCAAAAATATAGTTGTGCCATTTTCAGACAGAATAGATGCTACTTTTGAGCTGCAATAACCATATGTGGAGACTTGCAAATCTTAGTCCAGCTTCACCAGAGGAAGAGAAGGAAGGGCTGCCATGACAGCAAGATATTTTTTGGAAGAGTGAGCAAGCACTGCTAAATTGAAAAGGAATTCCTTTGTACCAATAATTTTACCCCGGCTTTTCAATTACTCTCATTTGTTGCTTGTACAAAAAAAAAGAAAAAAAAACAACACCCACACCTCTCAGTTGTATTCTTTTACTTGTAAATGCCCATACTCAAACATGAATAGTAGACTTTACATGGTGCTTCAATATTGCTGGTTTGTTAGAATGTAAATTGTATTTTGAATATGGGAAGATCCATTTTCCTTCTGAAAGCAGGTGATGCCATTCACATCCCAACTGAATTGTAGATTATACCAAAAAGATTGGTTTATATAATATTTATTGAATGCACATAAAACCCTAATGTCAGCTGGCATACAAAATGCACTGTATTGTATACAACCTGTGTGTGTGTGTGAGAATGGTGGGATGCTGATGCTGTTGTGTTGAGTTAATGCACTACTTGTGTTTTCTTTTTTCCTTAATGACTGAGCTTTCCCTCAACCATGCTACTAGATTGGTAGAGTTTGTAACTGACTTGGACATTCAGTTATTCAAAATGATCTCACTGTTCATTGAAATTTTATAAAGCTTATTTTATATTTACTGTGCTATTAAGATGAATTCCCTTTAATTATAGGATACTACTGTAGTTCTTTAAAAGTTTATTTAGAGTGGGGCTTGTGGAAAACTATTCAGAACATAGTAAACCAAAAGAAATCCTGAACTTTGGATCTGCTTTTCATTTGATGTAATTATTAGTCTTGTTTGGGTGAAGAGGAAAGGGGTGGGAAGTCAAGCAAAAGGAAGTACTTTGTAAAATGTAGTCTTAGATCAGATTGAATTGTGTATCTGTGTGTCTGTGGTATGTGTGTGTTTCCCTTGAAAAATGGGAGGTGTGGTGAAAAGGTGTAATAATTCTTAAAAGAGCTGGTCTCAGTACTTTCTGATTATGATATGCTACTGAATCACATTTTTTTAAAAAAAATCCAACTTTCTTTCAGTTACTTTTTCTGTCCCAGCTATACATCTCTCACTTCAATTCCTAAATACTTTTAATATTGATTGTAAAATCCCTTGAAACAGAAATAGAAATACTTGAGTTGAAATGGGGACAAAATAAAACCAATAAAGAATGTTTTAAAAAAGAATGTGAGAATATTAAATATGTTAAAAACAAGCTTGTCCTCAAGATGATAGTTTTTATTTTAGAATCCAGTGGTGTACCTTAGAATGTGAAAATGACTATCCTGATGTGGACAGTTGGACATAAACAATTCAAGAGCTCGTTTGGTACCACAGAATTTATGTGCTCTGTACTCCATGACTCCAAATCCCACAAGGAAAGAAGGCACAGATATCACATGTTGTAGTCAGTACTGTCTCTATGTGCTGCTGCATTTGTTTTCGTTTCAAAATGTCAATATTTTGTGAACCCAGACATGACTGAATTTTGCCACATTTCTTCAGTTGGGCCTTTCATTGCTGTTCATGTCCATAAATGCAAATATTTTTCTTGGATTTGAATAATCAGAAATCAGTGGCGTTAATGCAATATTATAATCCTGGATTTCCAGTACCTTTGAAACCAATTTTAAAAAACTGTGTTCTTGAAACTTATTTATTTATGGTGGCACCAGTGTATCTAATCCATACTTCCTGCTGTGTGAAACCCTGTTAAATTTTTTCATTAAAGAAAGGAGACACGATCTTGTTTAATCCTGTATATATGGTGTCTACATTCTAGATTTGTGTATGCTGTGAATGAACTTATTACTAAGAGATGAAATTGTATAAAAGCATTCAGAGGCTATGCATGCATGGTACCTCCAGAAAGTGCATACTCCAAGTTGCAGATTCCTGCAAAAATAAATTAATAAAACTAAGCAAACATCACATCCTGCATTTGTTCTTGTATGTAGTTGGAAACATTTAAAAAATACAGCCATTTTTGGCATTCATAGCCTGATTTGTTTCTTGTCTCCCACTGGAACATTTGTTTCAGGGCTTTTGGGATTTTTGTTTAGGTGCTCGTTAGGCATTTGCTGAATAATGAACTGGGGTCCAAATCCTGTTCCCATGGCTGTGGATAAGCAGGAGCCCCTTTTAGATGATGGATGTTCCGTGCGGCTTCTGGTATGGAAACAGATGGGATGTTCAGAGTGTGAAGTTGAGCTTACCACTTCTCTCTCATATTTTAATATAAAGTTGTTATTAAAGAAGTCACCTTACCTGCTTTGGGTTGTAGCCTGGCTGACTTTCCTGCATATCAGCAGCGATGCTGAGTATCTGGATTACAGAAGTTCATCTCCTGCTCTAACCTCCACAGAAAGGCACTGCTCTGGGAGAGGGTGGAGAACTGCAAATGCACAAATAGGCACTTTATTGGTTTGTCTTCTCAGTTACCTCAATTGTATCAGCTCAGCATGATCTAAACCTTGAAAGCTCCACAGCTGTGCTGCAGCCCTGTTTTGCTCACACACAGTTTGTCATTCACCGTGTTCTCATCTAACAAACCTGCTGCAGCCTCAGGTTTGGGCTTTGGTCAGTAAACATAGGTAAGAATTTAGTTCTACATGCCTTTTGCTGAACTGGATTTATCACAATTTCAGGACAGGTTTATATTTTAATCAAGCATTTGATTCTTTTGCTTTAGAAGTCATTGCAGTTGAAACTCAATTTTTTAAAGAAACTGTAAAGAAGTTAAGGTACTTGTAAAGTGTATTGTGCTAATGGAGACCACACAAAGCTAAAAGATGCTAACAGCTGTCAAACAGCTGAGTGGTCACTGTTTTTTCCCTGAAGTCATGAGGAGGATCTGCCTGAATTGCATAAAACTAGTTGATTTATTCCTCAGAATTGCTTGGTTTTGACAGTAGTGAACCATGTCTTAAACCTGTGGCTCATCGAGGGATGATTTGCCCTGTGATCTGGTAAGTATTCCTGGAATTAAGTGCTGCTGCTTCTAATCAGTCAGGATGATCCATGGTGTGGTGGGTAAGTGCTTTAAATTCTTTAATTGCACCTTCTCTGATTGTAAGTGCACTTTTTGGAAGGAGGTGATTTAGATACCTGATTGAACAGGTGGACTCAAAGTGTTACATTCTGAATGGGTTACCTGATGTTTTGTGGGAACCTTGTGAAGTTGTTGGAGAAGGGGCTCTGTTAATTTTTAGCTGGAGGGTCTGTGATTGTAGCATGTTATTTTGCAGGAGCACCTCTTTGTTTCACAAAATGTTGTCTCAGAAAACAGTATGTATTGATTAAAAGGAATAAATTATAAAGTGAAAATACATTCACAAAAACCCCACTCTGCAGATTCTTTCTGGATAGGCAAGACTTAAAACCTGGCATGTATTTGCTGCTTTTACGAGTTCCATTTTGAAGATAGTGACAAATTAATTTTGCTTTATTCCAAACCATTGTGACTGTGTTGAAGTTAAAAGCTCTCGTGCCAGATTTGCTTAAAAAAAAGATAGCTAGGCTTCTGTTACTGCTTTAGAAACAAAGGAACAAAACCTGTGAATGAAAGACCTGCAACACAGGTGCTGCTTTGCTTTTGACTTAAAGGCTTCTTATTTTTTTTGAAGTGTTTTAGGAAAAGAAGTTTAGGCATGTGGCAATTTTTTTAGGAAAAATATGGACTACTTCAGGAAAAAAAATAGCTAGTTGAGGGAGTTTTTCATAGGTTTGAAAATGATAATTCTGGCTGCAGACTGGTACGGCCCCCTGGTGCACTGGCCCACTGGCCATCGCTTCCCAGGGCCTGCTTGCAGGTGAGGCATCCGAGGGATAGGTGTTACCACAGCAGGAAAGATCCTTGGCCTTTTCTGGGAAAGAATAAAAACCAACCAAAAATCTGGACCAAACACTCCCCACCCTTG